TGCTGGGGCATTTTAGAGGGCAGCAGGGCCAGGGGTACACAGGTGGGTCAGGTATAGATGGTGAGAATGTTACAGGCAGCACCTGTTAATGCTGGATCCTTACAGGGTGGAACCAAGAAGAGCTAAAGAAAGAGTAACGGGTGTACACAGAGGGACTGTGGGGATGGGTGACTGTAGAGTTGGACAGACTGGATTTTCAGCAGCAGGAAGGGCTTCCGGAGGGTAGAGGGACTTTTTAGGGACTTCTGGGGCAGAAGCATGGATTATAAGTCGCAGCACCCTTCATCTTGCTGGAGCCAGTTTTTTGACCCTTCTGTGCCTGCATTTTGTTACCTGTCAAAGTTTTTGCATTGGCTGTTCCCTCCACCAGGGACCTGCCCAGGCTCAGTGCCATCTCGTCAGGGCGGGCTTTCCTGCCCATCCTTCTGCCCCTTCCAGCTGAAGTCAATGTCATCCCAGCTTTCTGTGGCATCACCCTGGGTGGGTTCTTCCAGCCCAGGCCTCTTCTTCCAGCTGTGAAGCCTGAAATGGTTTCTGAGGCCTGAGGCATGGTGCTTTACGAGTACGAACTCATGGATTCTTCACAGTAACTCTGTCGTGTGAACTGTTGTCATCCCCATTTTACAGAGAGAGAGAGAGGCTAAGTTACTCATCCTGGGTCGCCCAGCCAGAAGTGGAGCTGAGACCGAAGTACGGGCTTCTTGGCTCTCCCAGCCATGCCCCTGATGCTTGTACTGTAGCATATTCTTGGACTTTATCTACTTCTATATCCCTCTCTAACTAGAAAGCATGTTTTTTGAGGATGGGGACCATAACTGTGCTAGCATAGCACCTGGCCAGGGTAGGTACTTGACAAATGTTTGTGGAATGAATGAAGGCGGTGGGTGTCCATAGGGGACCGCACAGCTTCCCCCTTGAAGTGACACAGACCCCTCAGCTCGCAGTTCAGTGGCTGAAGCATGTCCTGCAGCCCTCTCCCCAGGGCAGGCGGGAAAGTAAAGTCCTGCTGCAAGAGGAGGCGGTGGGGGTCCGAGGCCACACCAACGGCCCACCTTTGGCCTGTGTGATGCTTGGCAGACCTCGTGGAGCTCTCTGAGGTGGGGTGCGAGTAGATGGAGAACTCACTACCCAGCAAGGCCACCAAGGACAGATTGGGGAAGGAAGGGCTTCATTACACAGGCTAGAAGTAGGGGAGGGTAGCAAGGTCTAGATAGCAGGGGATTCCCACCAGTAAATGCCCAGTGCCCCGGCCATCTGCTGTCAGGGAGGCTGTTGAGGACCTGTCCCTCCTGTAGGGAGCCTTGGGGGGACTCCCAGCCCCACCCTGGAGCTGGCCCTGGCTGTCCAGCTGCAGCTCCTCCCCAGTTCCCCTCAGGTGAGTGGCGAGCTCCTCATCACTGGCCCAGGCCTCCTCACTGAGCATCCTCACTTCTGCCGTATCGCCCTTGAGGCCTGCTGGGTGGAATCCATGCCCTGCACTAGGTTCAGGCTAAAAGCTGATGCCATCCTGGACTCACTGCTCCTTGTCCTTCTTGTTCCTACCCCCACTGTCCCCACCTCGGCCACCCCCCACCCAGATCCATCAGCAAATATCGACACCTCTGCCCTCAGACTGTGTCCTCGACCCAGTCCCCTCCCACCTCTGCTGCAGCATGGCTGGGTGCCCACAGGAGCCCCCCTCACTCAGCTGCCAGCTGGGCCCTGGCCCGCGATCTCCTCAGCATGGCATCGCCCATGTGGACTTAGGACCCCCATCACCACCCTTTTCACAGCACGCCGGGGCTTCTCAGCCCACTCGAGAGAAAGCCAGACCCCTCTCCATGGCCTGCAGCACAGTGTGGTCTGCCCGCCGGCCCACTGCCCCCTTTGCCTTCCCCCGGGGTCCCTGTGCTCAGCCCTGGAATAGCCTCTCCGATTTCCCCACCCACCTCAGGGCCTTTGTCCTCACTGTCACCTCTTCCCAGAAAATTGCCTGATCCCTCAGTCTCTGTCCCCTGCCCCCTGCCCAGACTAGGCCTCTCAACTGTACCCACAGGGGCCCATGACTTACTCCCAGCCGGTGTTCGCCAAGAGGTGCCTGGCCCAGCAGACACATGGTGCTCACCTAATCCTGAAGAGCTCGCATGCCCACTTCCCACAGCCCCTTCCCCTCTTCCCTTTGTGCTCTGAGTACCTCCAGGGCCAAGGAGCCTTGTCCTGGAAGTCCCTGGATGTGGCATATCGACACCAGAGGGTGGATGGAGGCAAAAAAAAAAGAGCAGCTGCTGCCCGGGGAAATGACAAGGCGGGACCCAGCTGGGCCTGGACCTGGTCACTACAGCAGTGGCCTGGAGGGACCAGACAGCCTGGGTGGAGTCAGAGCATGCACCTGTGTGGGGAAGGGACCAGGCAGCAGGGGGTGGGGATAGCCCAGCCCAACTCCCACAGTCACTGCCATGGGGGCCAGGGAGCAAAGGCCCAGGGATGCCAGAAGGTCTGATTTTTCAGAAGCCAGAAATCCAGATTTTTTGTGCACTCTTCCAGTTTTTAAATACTGGCAACTAACTAGAATTCTTTTTGTTAACAGTGTGTGGGCCAAAGAAAACCCAACTGTAGGTGAGCCATGGCAACCCCTCACCTGGAAGCTGAGGGAGGGAGAGAAGGGTGTGGGCTGGGGCTGGCATGGAGCAGGATGGTGAGGACCCTGAATCTGCTCTGGCCGTGGCTGTAGAGGCCTGGGGCATTGGAGCAGTTCTTGGTTGGAGACCCCCAAAGCATAGCGAGGCATGTGATCTTGTGAACAGTGAAACGCTGGTCCTTCCGTCCTGGGTCCCTGGGACAGGTAGGAACGGGGCCACTCCATTACCACTTCTGTGCCAGGACCAAGCTAGCTAGTGGTTGCTCCCTGCCACACTCCTGGGGACAAGCTTATGGGTGTGGCCGTCCTAGGGTAAAAATAGCAGGGTCACCTTGCAGCCAGGAGGCTTCCTTTCACTTGCACGTGGAAATACAGTGTCCACCGGGCGCTGTTGTCAGCCAGGAGCTGTGCGGTTATGGGGCGGGTGGACACCGGCTTTCATCTCCATTCCCCCAACCCTGGGGACAGAAGAATGCGGACCTCTACCTGCTGGGGCAAGGGGTCAGGCCTGGCCCCCCATTTAGGGGATGACCTGGCCGATTATGCCCCAGCACGGGTTCTGGGTGTGCCATGAGGCAAGGAGGCCCAAGGGCCCAAGCCACACTAGACCCCTCATGGACTCTTGAGGAAACACATGTCCCTGTGTCCCCAACCACTTGACAGCTGTCGGTGACTCTGAGGGCTTGGGCCAAGGGGACATGGAGCCAGTCTGGCCTGATGGCTCCATACAGCTCCCAGAGTGACCTGGCAAACTCCATGGAGAACACCCATCCTCTAGGGTCACATGTGTGGCCATCTTCAAAGCCCTCTCACACCAGCCTCTCTGTTTTTTTGTTGTTGTTGTTGTGGTTTTTGTTTTTTTTGAGACAGAGTCTTGCTCTGTCGCCTGGGCTGGAGTGCAGTGGTACAATCTCAGCTCACTGTAACTTATGCCTGCCGAGTTCAAATGATTCTCCTGCCTCAGCCTCCCGAGTAGCTGGGATTACAGGCATGTGCCACCACGCCTGGCTAATTTTGGATTTTTAGTAGAGATGGGATTTCACCATGTTGGCCAGGCTGGTCTGGAACTCCCGACCTCAGGTGATCCACCTGCTTCAGCTTCCCAAAGTGCTGGAATTACAGGTGTGAGCCACCACGCCTGGCCCAATCTCTCTCCTTTGACCACCAGGACCACCCTGCCAGGTCAGCCAAGCAAGAGACCTACCACAAGATGGGCAGGACATCTGAGGCCCTAAGGGAGAAGGGGCCTGCCAGGGCTCACACGGCCGGAGTGCCGCAGGGAGGCAGGGCCTGCTCCCAGGGTTGGTGTGAGCAGCAGGGTCAGTGCCGTGTCCCCACAGCCTGCCTGGCCCTACAGGCACCTGGCCAGGTGCAGACCAGGAGTGCTCTGGCCTGGCGCTAGGCCCCATCAGTCCATGACACATGTGCACCATGCACATCCCTGCCCTGGCCTGGTTCTGCACATACCTTGGGCACCGAGAGGCTTGAACCAGTGGAATGATCCATGCTCTGGGAGTCCGGTCTCCAGTGGACACACTCAGCCCTGCAGGGCCAGCCCTGCCACTGGCACTGTGACCTCCAGCTAGAAACGCTGCCTCTCTGCACCTTCATCATTACTGAGTGCGTCATTGCAGGCATCTGACTACTTCCTCAGTGTTTACAACGGGGGAAACCAGGACCCCTGAAAGGTCGTATGGCTGTCAGGCTCCCGAGTCTGGGCTCCTGAGCACCGCAGGTAACCAGAGTGCTGACCTCCCGGAGTGGGATTTGAATGAATTAGTGTGCACCGGGCGCCTCAACAGCGGCGGCACAGAGCAATTGCTCCCCGCAGGTGCTGTGGTTGCTGTTCTTTATTACCCATTGGCAGACAGAGGGTTCCAGTCTGCTCAGAAGAGCAGCCTGGCATGGCGGCTTTCACGCTGAGGGGAGCAGAGATTTGGGCCGGACGGGGAACCCGGTTCTGAATGCGTGTGCGGGCATTTGGGGCCAGTACCGGGCAGCCGAGAAGGAGCTGCAGGCAGGGCAGGGGAGTGATGGTCCATCTCCAGCACTCACAGAAGCACCCCTGCAGCCAGCCCAGCCCATTCTTTGTACAAGGTCTGGGCGAGTCTAAGTGAAGGCGTTTGTACCAGGTCCCCCACATTTGGGTTTGGGACCGGGCAGGATGCCTGGAGCCCAGGGTCTTCCGGTGCCAGCCTGGGCTCTTGAGTTCCCACCCAGGCAGGAGATGGAACTAGAGACCCCTGAATGCCTACAGGGATGAGGGCCGGTGCAGGTGGGCAGGGAGGGAGAATGTCAACTGTCCACTGAGCGGAGATCCCCTCCAGATGCCTGGCTGGCAGCCGGGCAGCTGGGGCTGAGTGTGCCTCTCATCCTACCCCAGGAAGCCTGAGAAGGGAGTCCAGTACCTCATCGAGCGTGGCTTTGTGCCCGACACGCCCGTCGGGGTGGCCCACTTCCTGCTGCAGCGCAAGGGCCTAAGCCGGCAAATGATCGGCGAGTTCCTGGGCAACCGGCAGAAGCAGTTCAACCGCGACGTGCTCGAGTGAGTTCTGTGGCGGGAGTGGGACTTGATTCCACACGCGCCATCATGCACCCTGTGTTACGCATGGGCACACACAGGGTCAGCCCCACCCTACTTGCTGGGACATGTGCTGGGCACCCCCTTCTCTCTTTCTAACTCCTAGACACACACATGCAGATACCCCACATCTGTACAGCATGCAGGTGGGCACCTGCCCTCCAACGCACCATCCCACATGTGGACCCCACTGCCTGTCCACCCACCTTCTTTCAGGTACCCTTGGCCCCTCCTCCCCTCTGTCCCTAAGCACAGTTTATCCAACCTGGCACCAAGCATCACAGCCCTCAGTGACCCACGTTCCTGCAGCCTCTCATGGCAGGGCTGGCAGGAGCAGGCAGCTGGAGGTCAGGGCACCTCCTGCATGGACTGCATGCCCTGTCTGCTCCTGACTCGCCCCTGGGGAGAGCGGTCGGGAGCTGGATCAAGTGACCTGCCTCCCTGTGGGCGGCCTGTGCCACACTCTGCCCCTGCCTTATTCTCCTGGCTGGAATATTTGGGCTGTGTGTCCTACCCCCACCTCCTGATTCCACAGCTCCCCCCAGCTTAGAGAGCTGGTGAGCACAACATTCTCAGCTACTTGAAAGCCTTCTGAAAAATGGATTCCCAACTCCCTGAGCCAGAAGGGTGGGCCAGGAAGAGCATTCAGAGCAGGGTGAAGTGTTGGCCATCCAGAGGCAGTCCCTTCTAGCCGCCCAGCCCTGCCCATGTGCAGCCGAGGGGACCAGCGAGGGCTAGGGAGCAGGTGCCCGGGAACAGCAGCCCCTGGAGCACGAGGCCTCACGTTCCCTGGGGCTGGCCAGTGCGCCTGAGGTCTCTGCTGCTTCCCTAGGAGGCAGCGGGTGCCGTCGCCCCTTTTGTCTCATGGGTGGGGAAACCAAGGCTCAGAGTGGGAGGGGCTGGCCTGGGCACACACCCCCACATACACGGACTCACACACACAGGCACTCATGTAGTCCCGCCCCACACCCAGGAGGCTAAATGTGGCCAGCACATGGCAGGCACCAGCAGAATGTCTGTGTCCTTGGTCGGCCAAGCATGCACAGGCCGGGCATCTTTCTCCCTGCTCAGCACCTGGAGAAGCCTGCTGTATTGTTAGGGTGGCTACTGCCCTCTCCCCTCTTTGAAGCAAGCATGAGGAAAGGTCCGAGGATGAGCTCCTTGGTGAATGCCCAGCTCCAGCCCCCATCCCCTGCAGCCATTCCTGCTCCAAACCGGTTCCTGGTCCTTAGGAAATCCGCATATTGTTCTCCTCATTCAGAAAATAGCAGTGGCCTCAGGAAGTGGCTGGCTCCCCCGGGCCACCACACCAGGCATCTGCAGGGCTGCTGCTCCTGCTGCTCAGCAAATCCTCCTGCCTGCTCCCTGCTTGCCCTCTCCCCACTGCTCTGAAGCCACCTCCAAGGCTGTTGCCCCAGGAGGCCTTGAGCGCTCAGAGGAGGGTGGGAGCAGCTGCATCGCCCCATGTGGGGATGGCCCTGGGAGAGGGGTCAGGCCCTGTGTGGCCAGGCCTCTGCCCCATGGGAGTGACTGCAGCGTCATTAGGGAGCTAGGCCAGAAGCTGGAGCCTGCCCCAGGGCTCCTGGTGCACACCCCATCTTCTCTGTTCCAGGGTCACCATAGGAGGGACTGGAAGGGTGTGCCAGGGGCAGAGCCATGGGAAGAATGTAGAAACCATTCATCAGCCGCCCCTCCAGGCACTCCCCTGCAGATGAGGGTGCATGGCCCTTTCAAGTCCCTGGAAAAGCACCTGCAAAACCCAGCCCACCACCCCAATACTCTCCCCACAAGGGCTTATTCTGAAAGTCAACACCCTGGGCACCCTTTCTTCACTGTGAAAATGGCAGTGAACTCCCCGACCCCATGCAGAAGGAGAAGAGACTCACCGTAGCATCCACTGTGTGCCTGGTGAGGGCTATGCTTAAAAATGCTTGTCTCGGCCGGGCGTGGTGGCTCACACCTGTAATCCCAGCACTTTGGGAGGCCAAGGCAGGCAGATCACGAGGTCAGGAGATCGAGACCATCCTGGCTAACACGGTGAAACCCCATCTCTATAAAAATACAAAAAATTAGCCGGGCGTGGTGGCGGGCGCCTGTAGTCCCAGCTACTGGGGAGGCTGAGGCAGGAGAATGGCGTGAACCTGGGAGGCAGAGCTTGCAGTGAGCCGAGATCGCGCCACTACACTCCAGCCTGGGTGACGAACGAGATTCCGTCTCATAAAAAAAAAAAAAATTGCTTGTCTCTTGGGAAGGGCTTTGATCCAGATAACCATATGCTCTGCCCCGCTGGGAAAACTGCCCACATAAATATAGGCACACACGCTTCCCTACAGTTCCAGGGGCTTCACGGCTCCCCAGAAGCCTGGATGTCTTTTTGCTGCATTCTGAGGGCTCTTAGCTGATTGGTTGGAGTCCAGCAGGGGCCCTCCCTACCAGGAGGCAGCCCGTTCCCTGGGCTCCAGGCACCACCACCTGGGTGTGGGCTGGGTGTGTCACACCTGCAAGGGGTGCTCATGTGGGGCTGTCTGTCTCTATTCCAGCTGCGTGGTGGATGAGATGGACTTCTCTACCATGGAGCTGGACGAGGCCCTCAGGAAATTCCAGGCGCACATCCGTGTCCAAGGGGAGGCTCAGAAAGTGGAGCGGCTCATCGAGGCGTTCAGGTGGGGCCCAGGCTGGCTGGGGGTGCTGCATCGGGGGAGGATGGTGTCCCCAGCTTCAGGGCCCGAAGATGGACCAAAGACTGCATCCCCACCATCCCTAGACAGGGCCAGGTGTCCCTGAATGTTGCTTTGGGGGTGACCGTAGTGGCCCAGTCTACATTCCAGGCACTGTGTAGGGCTCCTTTCAGCCATTGTGAGGTGGTGGAGGTGGAGGAGACTGTACCAATTATTCTGATTGTGAAGATGAGGAAACTGAAGTTGAAAGAGGTTATGATTGCGACTGCTAGGATTCTGTCTGTTCAAATCGGGATTCTGAATGCTCTTCCTCCAGTTCCCCCCGAGCTCTGCATTCATCCACAAGTCCATCTATCTAGTCATTCACTTGCTCATTCACGAGGAGCCGCACAGTGACTCAGAGCACTAGCCAGACAGCCAGACGCCTGGTTCAGTCACCGACTCCACCACTTACTGGCTATGTGGCCCTGTGCTGGTTTCTTAACTTCTCTGTGCCTCATTTCTTCACCTGTGAAGTTGAATAACAATAGCACATATCCTACAAAGGGGTGCAAGGATGAACTGACACAGGACATGTGGGCACACTTAGCCCAGTTCCTGACACAACAGTGAGCTCGAGGTCACTACACAGTCATCCATTCTGGGATCACGTGCAGACTGGCTGTGTAGGAGCCTGCATGTTCGATGCTGGGTGTGGGCAGCACAGGTCAGCTGCTGACCCAGCCCTCTGGGCTCTGCACTGGTGGTGGGGCCAGGAGGATTGAGGACACAAAGGGAGGACAACCCCAGGGCCCTGGCAGGAGGCAGCATGCACCTGCTTCTTTCCAGGACGGCTTCCTGGAAGGGAGGGCACTAAGCTGGGCTCCTGAGCCTCAGTCCTGGTACTTTGCTTGGCTCCTCTACTCCTCTACTCTGTCCCTGCCTCTTGTCACCTGCCCCTCCACGAGGTCAGCAGTGGAGGGGCCCCTGGAGTGGCAGTGGGAGCGGCAAGCGGGCGGATTCCAAGGCAGGGGGGTGTTCTTGTCCACAGCTGTTGAACCTGAGGCCCCTCAGTAGCCATGGCTGAGACAAGGCGAGGTGTTTCTCCCTCTGAGCTGGTGTGAAGGTGGCCCGGGCTGCTTTCTCCTCAGGGTCCTGGAGGGCAGGCCTGACACCCACTGTGACGTCCCCATTGCAGGCAGCGGGAAGAGGGGCCCAGCCTTACAGGCACTCACATCACATCTGTTCACATCCCATGGGCCGAATGTGGTGGTGTGGCTACTCTGAGCTCCTGGGAGCTGGGAAATGCAGTCCTCCCCAGGACGGCTGTGTGCCCGGCTATAATCCAGGGTAGGAGGGACTGCAGTAGAGAAAGGAGGGCGAGTGAGTAGTCAGGGCCACCTCCGACAGGCAGGCGTGATCCTCGCTCACCAGAAGCAGGAACTGAGACTCAGCAGTACGTGACAGCCTCAGCTGGTGAGAGAGGGGCCATGTCACTTGCTGCGCCATGGCCCTGACACCCTCCCTCCCGGCCTGCAGCCAGCGCTACTGCATCTGCAACCCCGGGGTGGTGCGGCAGTTCCGGAACCCAGACACCATTTTCATCCTGGCCTTCGCCATCATCCTGCTGAACACCGACATGTACAGCCCCAATGTCAAGCCCGAGCGGAAAATGAAGCTGGAGGACTTCATCAAGAACCTCCGAGGTGAGCTGTCCTGGGCGGTCAGCCAACCACAGACTTGCTTCAGCACCTGCCCCAGCCAGGCCCTCCCCAGGTGTAAGGGCAGACAGGGACATGAGGCAGCCTCCAGCTGGGGAGCTGGGCTCCAGCATCCAGGGTCTGGCATGGAGGGACCTTTGGGGAGCACAGCACAGATGACTGGGAAGAGCACTGCCTTAGAGGAGGCCCTGTGGGACACAGGTTGCACAACACAGGCCGGGGTCTCGAGGTGTTGGGATACCTTCCTCACGGAGAAGGTGACACTGTTAGCTTGCTCTTGAAGGATGAAACTAGCCTTTTTCTGTGTGTCTTTACCTAAAAGTATATATTTTAAAAGGGGACTTGATATCACTACTGTAAATGGAGAATGAGTAGCATTTGCCAAATGTAGAAAGTAATTATAAAAATAAATGCAATGAAAAGAAAGCAATGCTGCTGAGTTCTAGCCAGTGCGGCTTCCCACTGCTGGCGCTGGAGTACAGACCCGACTCCCTGTCCCCTGGGAGGTGGGCATGTGCTGGGAGGTATGGGTGCAGGGTCTGCGGGAAGCGAGGCCTCCTTGCGTGATCAGAGACGGGAAAGGAGCTAAAAGGCCGTGACCTTCCCCCAGGCAGCTCCGTGCCAGCCCAGTGTGTCCCTTGTGTGCCCCGAGGCCCTTGGAAGGAAGGAGGAAGGCACTGCATCCTTCAGTCCGTGTGGGAACCCTGGCTGCAAGAGCTGAGGGTGGGTTGAAAGGACAGAGACTGAGGGTTCCTTGGAAAGGGTGTCACTGTTTATAAAAGCAAAGAAGAGCCAGTGTGAGTCCAGCCTGGCTCTAAGAGCATGTGGAACTGACAAAGCTGTTCATTCTTAGTTTATTCAACAGTAGTTCTGCCGTCCCTTCTCCTTGGACAGGGTCACTGTCCAGGGAGCAGCTCCAGCTCCACTCCAGGGTCTTTAGGTGCCCTCCCGTTCTCCTGGTGGTGGGTGCCACTGTGGCAGGATCCCCAGGCAGCAGAGACCACAGGTAGATGGCACCTGAGCTAGACTCTAAGACCTGAGTGGTTCTGCCACCTCCCTTGGGAGGCAGGAAGGGATGCTGAGCAGGCTGGGGCATGGCTTAGAGCTCATGGACAGCCATTCCCTGCACCCTGCTGTCACTGCATGTGGCCTCTTGCAAGGTCTGAGGGGCATCAGGCCCCAAGTCCATCAAGTCTGTAGTTCCTGGGAACCAAGGCATCTTGAGAGCTCCTGAGAGCCACCAGTGGACACTTTGATGGTACAACAGATGCACTCCCAGGCCCAGGTGTCCAAGCAGCAGCCAGGAGGCCGGGGCCTCCTCTACATCCACCCAGGGCCTCTCTCACCCTGAGCCTCCCTTCTCATGGGGCCGAGCCTGTTTCTGGGATTCACAGACTCCCACGTTACACCTAATGCAGGCTGGCCACTCATCACCTCCAGGAAAGCCAGCTGTGTGCTGCATGCTGTTGGCAGCCCAGGGGGAGTTTGAGGGTCTCTGATTTGTTTTAATTAATTAATTTATTTATTTATATTTAGAGGTCCCTCTGGCAGCCCAGGGACAGTTTGAGGGTCTCTGATTGTTTAGACACGGTCTTCCTTTGTCACGCAGGCTGGAGTGCAGTGGTGCAATCATGTCTCACTTCAGCCTTGACGTCCCAGGCTCAAGAGATCGTCCTGCCTCAGCCTGCCAGGTAGCTGGGACCACAGGCGCGGACTGCCATGCCTGGCTAATTTTTAATTTTTGTTTTTTCTAGAGGTAGGGTCTCACTATGTTGTCCAGGCTGGTCTTGAACCCCTTGGCCTCAAGTGATCCTCCCACCTTGCCCTCCCAAAGTGCTGGGATTAAAGGCTAGAGCCACCATGCCCAAACAGGTGTTTTTTTTTTTCCTTACTTTAGACCCTCCTGCATGTCATCTGGAATGTGCTGGATGAGAAATAACAGGAGGAACCAGAAACGACTGGCCTAGAGCAGAGAAGGATTGGCGGGGCAGGGCTACTGAGCCAGGTGGTGGCCAGTCCATACCCCCATGGCAGTGGCTCTGTGGTTCCTGTCCATGGTTGCACCCAGTCCTGCCAGCTGTCTGGATGACAGGGTGGCAGGAGCCTCCCCACTTCCCGTGGAAGGGGCTGAGCACCCCATTCCCAAGGAGGGAGCTGCAGGTTCTGTCTCCCAAGCCTGGACTGTCCCCACCAAGTCACCCTTTTTTTTTTTTTTTTTTTGAGACGGAGTCTCGCTCTGTGGCCCAGGCTGGAGTGCAGTGGCCGAATCTCAACTCACTGCAAGCTCCGCCTCCTGGGTTTATGCCATTCTCCTGCCTCAGCCTCCCGAGTAGCTGGGACTACAGGCGCCCACCATCTCGCCCGGCTAGTTTTTTGTATTTTTTTAGTAGAGACGGGCTTTCACCGGGTTAGCCAGGATGGTCTCGATCTCCTGACCTCGTGATCCGCCCGTCTTGGCCTCCCAAAGTGCTGGGATTACAGGCTTGAGCCACCGCGCCCGGCCGACAAGTCACCCCTTTTCAGCCTGGAGCCCAAGGACGTTCTTTCTCATCTTATACTTCAGAAGGGGTGATCAGGGCTCAGAGAAGGCAGGGACCTGCCCAGGGTCACATGGAAATGGCAGAGGCAAGGCAGATCCCTGGACTCCTGCAACCAGCCTGGTGCTCTGTGCCTAGCGCATGTTCTTTCTGTAGGGATATCCTCATCCCCACCCCAACACACATCCTCTCTCGAGTGGGTCACCCCAGTTTGTCCGGTGGGTCCTGCAGCAGGAGAGCCCTGGGGGCTGGAGGACTGTGAAGGAGTAGCAGCTCACCATGGAAGCCAGTCCAGGAGTCTTTCCTTGTTATTAAAGTTGTTGAATTTTTTAGTTTATTTTTTAAATGGATATTCACATAGTTTGAAAGCCGGAAAGTAATATGATCCAGCAGTTGTGCTCCTTGATATTTACCTAAATGAACTGAAAACTTAGGCCCATGGAAAAACCTGTACACAGATGCTTATAGCAGCTCTATTCAAAACTGTCAAAACGTGGCAACCACCAGACGTCCTTGAGCAGGCGAAGGGATAAATAAACTGCATGCCTCCAGACAGTGGAATAGTGCTCAGCACGAAAGAGAAGTGAGCTATCGACCATGAAGAGATGTGGAGGAACCTGAAGTGTGTAGCACTGAGTGAAAGACGCCAGTCTGAACAGGCTGCGTGCTATGTGAGTCCAACTCTATGACATTCTGGAAAAGGCAAAACTATGAAGACAGGAAAAGGATGAGTGGCTGCCAGGAGCTGGGGGAGGGGGGATGGGTATGCGGAAATCAGGATTTTTAGAGTGGTGACGCTGTTTTGCGTGGTGCTATAGTGGTAGATAAGGGTCGTTCTACGTTTGCCCAAACCCGCAGAATCACAACACCCGGAGTGGACCCTAATCTAAAACGTGGACCCCGGGTAATGCTGATGCATCAGTGTGGGCTCATCATTGTGCCAATGGAGCACTCTGGTGAGGATGGCGACAGCAGGGGTGGCTATGAGTGTTGGGGGGTAAATCTGCCTTCTGCTCAGTTTTACTGAGAACCTAAAGCTGCTCTAAAACTAATGTCTATTTAGAGGAAAAAAAATACTGGAAGGTGCCTAGCAGAGTTTCCCTCCCACCCTACCCCGTGTGCTCAGGGCATAGCCTCTGCCCTTGAAGGTCCTCCATTTTGGCTTCTCCTGGCCGTGCCCCCTAGTTGTGCTCCTCTCATGCAAGTGCACATATACAGGAACGGTTTTACCCCCTGTTACTTTGCACCTTGCTTTTCTCACTTACTAAATCTAAGAGAAATGACCCATGTGCTTTACTGTGGCCTTCTTCACTGTTCCTGACAGATGCGTAGTAAGTAGTCTGTTGTGCTGATGTGGAATGATTGGTGAGCACTGCCCTGTTAATGGGTACACGGGTTACTTCCAGCCTTTTGCCATTTGGAAACAGTGCTGCAATAACCTTGTATGTGTCTCATTTCCCATGGGATAAGTTCCCCAAATGCAGTCAGTGTACCAGAGGGTGCTAGAACTTGTCATTTGGGCAGGCATTGCCAGGTTGCCTACCCCAGGTTGGAGCATCTCCTGTCCTGCCAGCCATCTGTGGGAGGTCCGTCTTCCCCAAGCCCTGCAGCCCTTTGGACTGCAGCCTGGCAGAGGGATGAGGCTGGAGCTCACTGCAAAACGAGTTTGCATTTCCCGCATGTACAAGGCTGTTTCTCTGCTCACAGCAGTTTTCAGAGTGGGGAGGAAGAAAGAAGTGGTGTGTGCTTGTGGTTAGGGCAGCCCTGGGTCAGAGCCCAGCCTCCAGTCTCTGCCCGGATGATGTGGGCCAGCAACAGCAGCCACTGCAGCACTCTCACAGCTCAGATGCAGAGCTGGGCATGCCCCAGGCGCCCCTCGTTTCCTCATGACAAGCCTGTGTTGTGGGCAACCTGTTTTAGAGGAGGACACCAAGCATGGGTGACGCACTCGCCTATAGTCACACAGCTAGTAAGTGTGAAAGTAGGATGTGGCCCCAGGTCCATCGGAACCCAAACTCACAAACCCCAGCCTCCCCACACCTCAGCCTCAGTCTTCCCATCTGTGGAATGGAGATGATTATACCTACTTTGAAGGGCTGTGGTTAGCATGGAGCAGGGTAGCATTTATAAAGCCCTCTGAACATGGCTTAGAGGTGGCTCAGACCCTGACACCCATCACCTACTAGTCCGGGTCAGATGTACTGGGCCCATTCCGGTAGGAGGACTGAGGAAATTTGTGTTGACTGAAAATGTCCTGTTGCTGTGGGCCCGCCCGGGAGTTCTTTGGTTCTGTTGGGTCTGGTGGAAGGTTCGCTCCTCTGATTTGCTTTAGAAACTGGTAAATCGAGTGAGCCTGGGGCCCACCCTGATACCCAGCTGCATCCCCTGCCCAGGTGTGGACGATGGTGAGGACATTCCCCGGGAGATGCTGATCGGGATCTATGAACGGATCCGTAAGCGAGAGCTGAAGACCAATGAGGACCATGTATCCCAGGTGCAGAAGGTGGAGAAGCTCATTGTGGGGAAGAAGCCGGTATGTCATGGGCCCTGGTACATGGTGGGCCCCAGCACCACCGGGACGAGGCTGCCTGCCAGGCCTTCTCACTCCCACCCACCCCACTCCATGTGGTCCCTTCCAGCAGGGCTGGTGAATTCTGCCAGCCAGGGCTTGGGTTTTTTTCAAGTGGCTCCTGTCATATTTGGGAATAACAGCTATTGGCTCTGCATTACAATCTGAAGAGAGCTGAGGCGCTTAATAATCCAGCAGGCCAGGGTTGTGCAGTGGCTGAGTTCTGGACCCCTGAGACTGGCAGGCTTTCCTGGGTGGTCCAGGAGTCCCCTGGGACCCCTCAGAGGTCTCTGCCAGAGCAGGTCCCCCACACACTGGCTGGGTGGAGCCCAAGGGGAGGTGTAGGGAGGGGCACTTGCAGCATTGACCTGGGCGTGGCTTTGAAACATGAACACCGTTTTGTTGGTTTCACATTCTCCCACAGATCGGATCCCTGCATCCCGGGCTCGGCTGTGTGAGTATTTCTCTGCTTTTACCTTTGTGGGTAGCCCACTGCCCTAGGGAAGTCCAGCATCAGCCAGTCTCTGGCTCCCCAGGCTCCCAGAGCCCGAGTGCTGGCTGCTTGAGTTTGTTGCTGGGGCGCTGAGGAATCAGGTGTTCATAATTACCCCAGCCTCAGATCTCTGCAGGCCCTGAGGCTGTGCTGTCAGGGGAGACTCCTGCTGGCTCTTGTCGGTGCCCTGTTGAGACCAGCCCCCAGACCCTGCGTCTGAAACAGACCCCGGTGTGTCCTCTGAGGCCCTGCCCTGTCCGCTACCTGACCCTGCTCTGTGCTCTATCCCCCACATCCCATGCCCCAGGCACTCCCAGTGCCCGCCTCCTCACCCCCAGGACCCATCCTCTCCCATAGCTTTGTGATGTGCCCACACGCCCCAGGGCACATGCACGTAGGGTGACCAGGCCGCTTGCCATGACCCTCCTTGTGGACTGGCCTTGTCCCTCAGTCCTGAAAGCAGCTCTGCCTGCCCTCACCCTCCCCAGCTTCCCCTGCAAGAGACCAGGCCCCTCCCACCTCCAGCCTGTGCTCCCCAACCCTGCCATCCTCTCTCCTTCACACCTTTGCAATCTGAGCACCCCAGGCTGGGCCACATTTTCCCCCCTCATCTTAACCCCCTGTTGTGCCAAACTCAGGCAGCCCTGGCCTAGAGCACGCCTGGCAGAGTCAAGCCCCTGGCCTCAGGGCAGTGATTCCGGGGATCCCACCCCTTTGACCGTCTCCCCTGTCCTGCATGAACCTGGGCACTCCCAGAGCCAAGCCCTGATGGTTCATCCCTCGCCCTGAGGCATCCGGCCTCAAGGGCAGCTGGAGCTATGACCATGTTGAGGGCTCGCGTGAGCTGTCAGAGACATGTTCAGGGCAGATGTGGGGAGTGGAGGACAGGGCCAGGGCAGGTGCCACAGAGTGTTGGCTGCTGGCTCAGGATTTTCAGGCATCAGGACAATAGGTATCTTTTATGGGGAGGCTTGGTAGGGTGGGAAAAGTCCTGGGGCCTGGAATTGGATCCTGGCTCTGCCACTTCCTGGTTTTGTCATTACTTAGCCTCTGTGCCTCAGTTTCCTCATCTAGAGTAGATTCTCTCTGTAAAGACTTTTTCAGGGCTTAGTGGCCTCATGTGTACGACCAGCACATTGCAGGGACTCAAAATGTGACTCACTATCTGGCCAGAGGCTCCCAGGTGAACTTGATAGTTTAAGAAGCCTAGTACCTGCCCAAAAGAATGGAAGGGGGGTCTCAGCAGAAGCAGGGGTGCGTCCCTAGTGCTTCAGGAGAGCAGACATAAGGGATTTTAAGTAGTGGCTCCTGAGAACAGAGTACGGGAAACTGCCATGAGCCAAAAGACACATCTGCTCTTCACTGTGTGTAAGGGAAGGCATTTTTGAACTCAAGGCCCACGTGCCAGGTTTCTAGCTTGAAGGGCTAGACTTATCCACTGTGGCTCCCAGGGCTCCTGGAGGAGAGCTGGGCAGCCGTGGCAGGACAGCCTCTCCCCACACAGGTGCTTTCTCTGCCCCACCGTCGGTTGGTCTGCTACTGCCGGCTCTTTGAGGTTCCAGACCCAAACAAGCCCCAGAAACTCGGACTACACCAGCGAGAAATCTTCCTGTTCAACGACCTCCTGGTGGTATGTGGCTCACCCACAAGGTGTCATAGCAGGGACCTCAAGCCTGAGCCCAGGGTCCGCGTCTGGCTGTCTGCATGGGGGAGATGTGCATGCATGTGGGGGTGCAGAAGGGAGGGTCTGCCTGGTGTCTGTCACACTGATGCACGTGGAGACAGACTTCATTGGCTCACGTACAGTTCCAGAGGGGGATCTTTGGCTTTAGTGCCAGCTCTTTCCAGAGCCTCTGCCAATGTCAGCAGCACTCCTGTGTGCTGTCTGCACCTGTACCTTGTGTGACGCTTCCTTGGGCAGGCCCCTTCCTCAGGCAGGCTCTGTCCAGGAAGGGAATGTGGCCCCAGCAGCTTCAGACCTGATCCTGTCTGCTGAGCAACTGTAGAATTCTCTTCTTAGACTGAGCAGAGGTTGCAGAGTTAGTCCTTGTTGCTGCACATCCCTCCCTAAGCCACTCCGGGCCAGGCAGGTGCAGCGCTTTCTGATTGGCTAGGCCTGGGTCCCAAGCCCCACCTCCTGGAACCCTGAGCTGGTCCCCTCAAGACCTATGGACTGAAGGAAATAAGGGCTGGAGGTTTCCCCAAAAGGAAACTGGGGCGCTCTTGCCAGAAAAAAAGGTGATATGGATGCTGGCCAGATGGGGACAGAAGTGCCCACTGCAGAGAGAAGGGAGAGTTTGTCCTTTGGATTTCCATACCATGCCATGGGCTTTCTTGCCAAAGATGCGCATGTTCTTGATTGGGTATGAAGACTGGCTACCCTTCTGTGACCACTGATGTTGAAATCAGACCTGTAGGTTCAAATCCTTTATGAAGAACTTCTGACCTTGAGCGAATCCCTTCACATCTATGAGCCTCAGTTTCCTCCTCTGTAAGATGAATCTCTCAGAAGGTGGCGGGGGTCCAGTGAGGTCCTGGACCTAAGACCCTTACATGGTGCTTGGCATGCCCTAGAGACCGGGGAGGTGTGAGCTCCCCTCTCCCCTCCCAGCCCAGCCTTTGGCTGCCACACTGGAAAGTTCCTTTCGTTACTGCAGACCAGGATAGCAGCCAAGGACCGTGGTGGGCCTGCAGGGGTTCAGGGATCACATCGCTAGCCCAGGGGCCAGTCTCCCTGCGGGCCATCACCAGGCATAGCTTCACACTCTAGCTGTTCCCAAGAGAGGAAGCCATGGCTTCTTCTCAAGGTCAGCGCTGCTGAGCGCCACCTGTCCATTCTTGCCCCTCAAGGTAGCAAGCCTTAGGTGTGTACACCTCACCTGGCTGTGAGAAGGCACTTGAGGGGACTCCGTGCTGTGACATGCCTACCGCCTCTGTGCCAGGATGTAGGACTTTGTTGCCAGCCAAGATGGCATCGGGGTTGCAGGGACAGGAACCGTCGTCCGAGTCTTGGAGTAGAAGGCCATGCCCTCCCCCCACGTGGGCTTGTCCCTGTCCTCCTGACTTTGAACTCCGGGAGGATCCTCTGGCCAGAGGTTGCACATAGTCACTGCCCCCCAAGGCACTGCAGCTCAGCTCTGTCTCTGCCTGCCTCCAGGTCACCAAGATCTTCCAGAAGAAGAAGAACTCGGTGACGTACAGCTTCCGACAGTCCTTCTCCTTGTACGGCATGCAGGTCCTGCTCTTCGAGAACCAGTGTAAGTCTGCCCCAGGGCCTGCCTGGAAGAGCACACGTCCCAGCTTACGCTCTTTCTCCTGGCTGCTTCAAGGACAGAACCCTGTGGGGGTTTCTACGCTCACCCCTGTTTTATCCCCAGAGAGCAGATTGCAGCTAGGAGCTCTGGTGAGCAGTGGGCACAGACCTTCAACAGACCCATCAGTCAGTTGAGCCTGATGTAATTACTAGTACTTCACTTCTTGCAGTGATAAGATTTTTAAATTTATGGCAGAAATACATTTATTTAAATAAAATGTTGACAGAAAAACATTAAATCGTATAGGTGATACGCAAACATGGCCCAGGACACAGGCAACAGCAACCCCTGAGTGTCCATGGAAGTGAAGAGCTGAGCCCCTCAGCCTAGGTCAGATCCCAGCTCTGGCTCAACTGCTGTGTGGCCTGGCTGTGCAACTCCACTGGCCTCTGTTTCCTGGGTCATAAAGTAGTGCCTGTGACAGGGCCCCTATCATAGCTGCCGGAACACAGTGCTTTGCAAGGGTTAATTTTGATGTCCTGCTGGAAGGCACTGGGTAAGGCCTGGGGGCCTGGGAGTTTGAGGGGCTCACACCTGCAGCACCCCACTGGATTCCATTTTATCTTGCTCCTTTCGCTCTCCACGGCTTCTCTTCCCCCTCCTTTGTCCCTTCCTTATTGGAGGCTGAGCCAGCCCTCCTGGGCTGGGGAGCAAGGGGCCACCTGGAGTGTCCTAGGGAAAGAAGCTGAGTGTCCCTGCTTTAGCAGTAGGGGTCCCTTGTCCTCTCAGAACTAGGCGTCACTGTCTGTCTAATCAGCCTTCCATCTGCAGGTTAGAACAGTGTCAGGGACCCACAGCTGGACCATCCAAAACCACAGGCCTTAGCTCTGGGGCTGTCTGTCCCCTTCCATCTTCAGTGGGACCAGGGACAGCCCGGCAGGAGCCCCTGCACTCCCTGTATGCCCTGCTCCCCACGCGCCCAACAAGGAGCATGGCGTGCCGGCCCTGGCTGCCTCCCCACCTCCTGCCATTCCTGTCCATCGCAGGCTGCAAGTCATGGCTTACCTTGGTCCCAGGGGAGACCAGTGCCATCCCCACATTGTCCAGACCAGCAGTAGCCCACTCTCTGAGATGGTGTCATTGACCCCTGCCCCCCAGGGCTGGGGTGGGAACTTAGTGAGATCCTGGCAGCAAAGCTCCCAGCAGGGGGCCAGGACCACTGTGGACTGTCAGGGCAGAGGCTGCACCTGGATCATGTCTGTGGTCCCAGGGCTTGGCCTTAGATCCTGGACGCTGGGTGCTGGCAAGAGCTAAGCCTGCAGCTTCTGTAGGAGATGCTGTCATGCCAGGGATCTCAAACTGGCAGCCTTGGAGGCAGGCCCAGCTCAGTTATGTTTTATATGGTTTGCATATTTTTTAAAAATTTGCTGAACCAGTCTCCACATCAAAATGTAGATATTGTGAAAATCAGAAGGTTTGGCGTCACTAGGCACATGTTCCCATGTGGCAGTAATGGGCTGCATGTACACCCATGTGCACACATATGCACACAGGAGCACTCTGCAGCTGCCCGCAGGTCCACCTGGCCCACCTGGTCTGAGCCAAGGTGGGATTAGTGCTTGGTCCAAGAACCTTCAAGCATCCAGTGGCTGATGCTTTGTCAGTGACTCCCACTGCAGGAGCAGCACTGACAGAAGATCAAAGCCCCAGGGACCCTGAAAGCCAGGAGGTGGCACCAGGCGGGTCTGGGCACAAGGTTCCTTGGCTGTGGAGTGCCCATAGTACACCCCATGGGAGTTGTGGGCCACAGGCCATTTGGGATAATATGGCCCTCACTGTTGTCCAGAACTGAAATGATTAGAGAAGACCCCCAACCTTCTCAGGACGCAACCTCTGTCCTCCTCCAGGATTCAGCACCTGGCAGAGTGCCCAAGGACCTGGAAGTCAAGGGCCTGGTCTCCACGACCTTAAGGTTGGGGAAGAATGGTGGCCCCAGCAGCCTCCCGTGAGCTCGGCCACTTTTGTCCCCAAGTCACATGTGGAGCAACACAGACCATCTTTCCCAAGTTGGGAGATGAGGTTGCTCTGTACCCCTGCAGCCTGCCACTGCCGAGGCTGGACTCCGGGCACTTATCCCAGGCTCACGCACAACTCAGCCCTACCATTGTTTCCTGACCAGAGAGAAGGTTGCAGAGAACACACTGAGACCCGTGGGCCTCCTCCCCTCTCGTTCCCTTTTGCAGACTACCCCAATGGCATCCGGCTCACTTCATCTGTCCCCGGAGCAGACATCAAAGTGTTAATAAACTTCAACGCCCCCAACCCTCAAGACCGGAAGAAATTCACTGATGACCTGCGGGAGTCCATTGCGGAAGTCCAAGAGATGGAGAAGCACAGGATAGAGTGTGAGTACCGGGGCTTGTGGACAGAAGGCCGAAACTTGCTGGCCACTGGCACTTGCCTCCCCATGTCATGGCAGTGACTTCTCCTGAGCCCACAGAGATGAGATGTCCCTCAGTCTTTTCTGACCTTCCCTATGGCCACGTGATGGGGCAGTCTGTGTGCCCAGGCTGCAGGAGGCACAGAGGGGGTCCAATCCAGGACCCGCCCTACCTGTTGCCTGTCATATGTCCAGCAAAAGACCCTGGCTCTCTGGTCACCCCGTGCACAAGAGCCTGCAGAGTTCCCAGCTGGCCTTTCTGCACCTCATCATCTTCTGCATCAGGCTCAACCCACTGATGGATCACACAGCCAAGGCCATCCTTGGCTGCAGGTCTACTCCCTGGAGGCACACGGGACTCCCTACTGCTGCCCCCTCTGTGGAAGGCCCTGGCTAATCCTTACTCATCTCCCAGACCTAGGCAAGTCTGTGCCTCCCTGTCCATCCCCGAGCCTGGAAGGTAACTGTCATTCCTGCAGGTCACAAGGCCCTCTGGCCTCCCTAGCCTTCCTCCTGGGATCTCCTTTCTGCTCTTTTGTCCAGGGTGGCCATCACACCCTCCTTCCCAGAAACAACCCTTCCCCATTCAAGGCAGATGGTGGCTCAGGACAGTGCTAGCTCCAAGCAGAAGGCCCCATCTCACACCCACTCTAGGCTGTGCTCCTCTCATCAGGCCACTCACCCTCTCTGTTCCAGCGGAGCTTGAGAAGCAGAAAGGCGTTGTGCGGCCCAGCATGTCCCAGTGCTCCAGCCTCAAAAAGGAGTCAGGCAATGGAACACTGAGCCGGGCCTGCCTGGACGACAGCTACGCCAGCGGCGAGGGCCTCAAGCGCAGTGCCCTCAGCAGCTCCCTGCGGGACCTCTCGGAAGCTGGTAAGAGCTTGGCCTAGAACCACCTTCCTAGCCCAGCGCATGCAAGACCGAGGCAGGGCGTCTGTATTCGGGGCATGCATCACGCGGGGCGGGGCCTGCGGTGAGGCCAGTGTGGCATTTCCCCTGACCTCCACCAAAGCAGAGCAGCGTCTGACAGCACAGAAAGGGCATCCCAAAAAGACATAGGAAAACAGGACCAAATTGTGAAAAAGAAAGGCATTGTATACGAATTAGCTGGGGAAGTCATCCCCATTTTCCCTTTCTTCTTCCAGGAGTTTTATTTACTCGTTTATTGATTTGGGAAGTCGCTCTAGCCCGGAGTGAGCCGGCGGCTGTGTCCCGTGCTCTCTGTGCGGCCGCGTCCCTGTGCTTCATGCTGATGAATGAACTTGCGCAGAACCCTCTAAGCTGTCTGGCGCCCCCTTGCCCACTGTCCCCGGTCTTGCTTTCCCTGCGGGGCCTCCTCTCCTGGGAAACCCGGGCCTCGTCCAGCCCAGAGGCCATTGAGCAGCGGCCAGGGCTGGCTCCGGGGTCCGGGAAAGCCTTGGTGGGAACTGTGATGTTGTGATTGTTTCTTTGTTTCTGTGTGTGTTTAATTTGCTGCCAGCTGTTTCACCCCCAAGCAAGCAGCACCCCTGAAACCACCTGCATTCCTGGGGGTGGGGCACTGTGAGCAGCAAGGCTCAGGGGCTTTTGCCAGCAGCCTTGGCCCAGCCTCTCCCTCGTGGAGCAGGAGAGACAAGAGCACGGGCCGGCCGACGGGTGCCTGCTCTTGCCGCTGCAGGCTGTGTTGCTGCTCAAGGAGTGTACAGGAGGGTGTCATACCCACCCTCAGCCCAACAACCTGTCCACCAGTCAGTGAGCTTCTCCTGGAAGGGGCCCCGGGGGATGCCTGGGGCTGCAGTGGCCCAGCTTGTCTCGCGCAGGTCTGCCCTAGGAGCCTGGTGTGCCTGTTTTGGGAAGACCCCCTTCCTGGGGTTGCCTGCCCCACCTGCCCCGCCTCAGGACTCCCTCCTGCACCTGCCCATCAGCAGCCTTGCCTCCCCTCAGCTAAGTCCCTCTCAGGCCCTTTGGAGTCTGCCCTTTTTTTTAAGTTGGATTTTTTCCTTTATTTTCGTTTTGTCATTATTATTATTATTATTTGCCATAGTAAAAAAAATCAGAAATTCATTGCCAGTTGCCAGCATGAGGGTTGAACCCAGGGCTTCTCAACCTCGGCTTGATTGACATTTTGGGCCAAGTGACTCCTTGCTGGGCGGCCATCCCGGGCTTGGCAAGATGTTTACCCTCATTCCTGGCCTCTACTACTGGTTGCCGGTAATATCTTCCCTGTCATGACAGTCACTGATGTCTCCAGAAATTGCCAGGTGTCCCCTGGGGGGCAGAATCACCCCTGGTTGAGAACCACTGGTTTTCCCAGTGGCCTTGTGAAACACAGCTAAATGTCACTGGACTGCTTTGGGCCTCTGCAGGCTGTGGGCCGGGACCTCTGTTTGAGTTTGTGCAGTGTGGTGGGCCCTGCCCTCTCCCTCCCCTGACGAAGCTGTCCAGCCCCTCTCAGGCAGCAGCGGTTCTGCCAGAACCGAGGCCCTTGAGCCCCATCCACCCCAGGGCCCAGAGGTCAGGACCCCAGCCGTCCACCCTCTACCAGAGCTTGGGGGTTGGACAGCCACGTGCCGGGCCCACGTTCATGTGAGGGGTGAGCCCAGGGCCAGCTGCTTTCATGTAGTGTGACGATTGCTGTTGTCATTTAGGAATTCTGAGCTCAGAAGGACAATAGGGACTGAGACCCCGCCCTGGGCCTACCATTGAAACAAAAGCAGGAACAGATCTCAGAGACCCCCCTGTACCCAGAAAAGTTTGGGGGTGAAGTGAGGTGGGGTTTGAGTCCTACCATTGAAACAAAAGCAGAAACAGATCTCAGAGACCCCCCTGTACCCAGAAAAGTTTGGGGGTGAAGTGAGGTGGGGTTTGAGTCCAGGCAGCTGCCGAGACCCCAGGCTGGGGACAGGCCCCCTGTGATCTCCCATCGGGACAGGTGGGTGCTAGCAGCCTTCCTGGGGAGGGGCAGGGCTGGCAGCGGGAGAGGTCAGATGTCATGCTCTGGACCAGGTCGGGGCTGCAAGCTCCCCAGCGGCAGCATGGCCCCACCTCACTCACCACAGCCCTCACAGCACTGAGCCCGAAACACCACGATGAGCTTGTGGAAGAGGCAGGCCCGCAGGACAGTGTCCCCTCCATGGTTGGCACGTCACTGCTCCCAAAGCAGGAAACCCTGGGAGCAGCTGTCCCAGGTCTGCACTCGACATCCATCCAGGAGAGGACATACCACAGACATGAAGCCAGGGGACTGATGAAGTAGCCGTAGATGGTGCCCGAAGGAACCCATCCTCAGGAGCCTCCAGAAGCCTCTATCATGCCAAGGGTTAGAGGGAAGGGGGCTAGCACCGGCCACACCGCAGTGCATTGCCTGGTGTCTCAGGCCTGGTCTTCCTTGAGCCAAGACTCCCCACCTGGTCCTCATTCCAGTGGCACAAGAGCCCTGCTGACCCGAGACCAAGGACCCAGCAAGGACTGTGGGAACAGGGATCAACCGAGTGGTGGTGGACATTGACCAGTGGCCCCCAGTGGCCCTCCTGCCCCTCCCTGGCCAAGCTGCCCAGCTCTGAGTCCTTACGGAGAGGACCTGCCTGCAACAGTCTCCGTGTCCTGTTCCAGGGGAGCAGTGACAGCCAGCAGTGGTGGGCGGACAGAGCAGCACCCCTGCCATGTGTGAAGCGGGCCAGGGCCCAGAGAGGGTGGTGCTTCCTCTTGCCCTGGCCACATCCCTCCCCACCATGTCAGGCCCAGCAGAGAACATGGTGCAGCACGCAGATGCCAGAGTCAGACAGCCTGAGCTCATCCCCCACCTCCGCCTGTCCTCTCTAGCTCTCAGACCCTGTGGGCCTGTTTCCCCAGCTGCAGCGAGGGAGTCAGCGCATGGAAAGCCTTTCAGGCGTGCCAGGCTCAGGCAGCGCTGGCCAAGTGTGCGTAGCTATCATTTCTGTTGTGGTCATTGACACTGAGCAAGGCCACCAGCTCGGCTGCAGCGTTGTTAAGGGTCACAGGACGAGTATCCGGTGGGCAGGAGAGTACTGCCATGTGACGTCCTGCCCTGACTCTGAGGAAGCTGCAAAAGTTGTGAAGAACCATCCTGGGAGCCCTTCAAGAAAAATGGTTCCAAGTCCCTCCAGACCCTGCCCAGGGCTGGCTTGGCCTGATCCACACACGTGTGGCGTGAGCCACTATTCTGGCCTGCCTGACTTCATCAGCCTGTGAACCTGGGCAGGTGTGGGAGGCTGCGTATGCATGGGATGTCTGCACGGATTGCTATGGGCAGTTATGGTTGTGGGTGTACCTGTGAGCACAGGGCTCTGGGATTCAGCACAGAGGGAGCCCTGGGATCACCCTGCATCTCTTGCTGACCTGAGACATTGGGAAAGTGGATTGTAAGACATTCAGCATCACTCCAAAACAGCCAAGAAAAGAACTCCTAAGTGTTCGCCCAAGTTGAGCAGGGTAAGGAGGACCGTGTTTAACTCCAGGTGGGGACACTGTGTGGACCCCCAACCCCAGTCTTCAGGCCTGGCCCAGGTCGTGTCAGAAGCTATAGGCTAGCCAAAAGGAGTTGCCAGATACAGGCAGGGGAGGCCATCTCCCCTCTGCCCCTGGTTTTTAGTCAGCCAGAGGAGTCCCAGGCCTTAGAGGAGTGGGCTAGAGAGCTGATTTGAAAACCCTAGAGACAGTGGCGCTCTGTCCCTCCACATTTCCACATGGCGCCACAGTGTCCTGAGTGTCTGATGGCTGTGGCCACCCAAGAGGAGGGTAGAGGAGGGAGGCCATGTCCTGGAAGGCTGGACTCTACTTTGCTCCATGTCCCTGGACCACTGTGTTGGGCAGGAAGGGAAGAAAGGTCAGCCCCTCTTCCCACACTGGCTGAAAAATGAGGAAATGTGAGCCTCCTCTTTCTTCTGGCTGAGAATTAGGGCCAGGGTCCTACGTCCTCAGCAACTGGTGTCAAGCCCTCTTGCCCTGATGTGCTGTGTGGCCCTTTCCCAATAGTGGTCTCTGAGGGCCACATCACACAAGCCAGAGCCACCCAAGGCCTTCTGCTGACCCCAACTCCCACCTGGACCTCCGGTTTGGGGTCAGCAGGCAAGGCAGAGGGACTGGACTCCCCTGAGTCTGTGTGGCGATGCCCAGGCTGAAGCCATGCCAAAGCACAGCCTAGCACACTCAGAGGGCACGGGGAGGCTCGAAGCCCACAGCACTCCCTCCACCTGTCACTGGCTGGTGGCCCTGGGCTAGCTGGGAGGTGCAGTAACTTTCCCAGAGGCTGGAGACGGGGCACAGTGGGGAGGCCCAGCAGTTGCTTCCTTCTCCTAGGGTCCTGGGCCCAATCGGGCCTGGGGTCCAGCTCTGAAGGCAGCGTGGCCAAGTTATCCAGCCTTAGAGGCGGCCGGGTGTGAAGGTCTGGGTGTGAACCCTGCTGCCTGTGAGAATTGGGCCTCAGCGTCCCCCTCTCTGACACGGACACAGTGGCGCGTATAGGGTTGACATGTCTAGCGCGGTGCTGAACACATGGCAATGCTGCCCAGATGGAAGCTTCAAGAATGTCAAGTGGGGAGGGCTGTTTCTCCCTCCCTCTTCCCATCCCCACTCCCAAAGCCCAGGCTGGCCCCTAAGGCCAGGCCCCTGTCATGCTCCAGGCTTGGTGTTCCTTAAAAATCCACGGAGAAATCCTCAGGAGGGACTGTGGAGGCTGGGCGGGGCCGTGCTGGGCTCTAGGCACCCGGAGCCAAGAGGAAGACCCGGCCTTGCTTTGACGGACCCCACACACCGAGTGCGTACTGTGTGCCCTGCGCTGGGGCGCGACGAAGATGCTGGCAGAGACCTCCTGGCTTAGGGAAGGCTTTGTGGCCCCTTGGGGAATGGTGCCAAGCAGAGGAATCCCAAGCTGGAAGGTAGTTTCCAGCAGCCCCCAACCCTGTCTCCTGCCCCTGGCCAGGGCACTGCACAAACCAAAACTGAGCTCCTGCGGGCAGCTGGGAGGAAGCGGGGATATGAAGTTGTTTCCTCTTCACCCTCAGTGCTCATCCTGCCGAGGAGGTGGGGGCATATATGTGTGTGTGTGGATATACACATATATACGGCAGTCACTGAAGGTGGGCATGCAGGACCTGCCATGCTGTTTGCGGCTATGAAGAAGCTGCCCTCGCCCCTCCCCATTCACCCGAGTCAGGGGTGAACACACGAGTTGGAGGCATCGGGCCCACCTGTCCACATGCCTCAGCCCCAGGGCCCCTCTCAACAGACTGCTGGTCCAGGAGAAGGAGTATAAAATAGGGGCTGGTTTAAAAAAAAAAAAAAAAAAAAAATTTTTTTTTTTTGCTTTTCAAAAACTTTATTTTGAAAATTCATTCCTGCACTGCTGCTGGCTTCCCCACTGAGCCCCTCCTCCGACCCCTCACACCTGGCTCCTGTGGGCAGGTGGGCCCGGCACCTGTGCCTGCTCCCAGCAGGGGTGCAGGCTCCGTGGCAGCAGCGTGGCGCCAGGCAGGCAGCGCCCCCAGCCTCATGTCCGCGTCTAACTTCTGGTATTGCATGTTCTGGGCAGGGAAGCGAGGGCGTCGCAGCAGTGCGGGATCGCTAGAGAGCAATGTGGAAGTAAGTAGGAAGCGCCTCCGTCCAGCTGGCTGTCCTGTGTCGCCTTCCCCAGTCCTCGGTTCATATCTGTTGTCCTGGGTTTTTTTGTTTGTTTGTTTTTTGGTTTTTTTTTTTTTTTTTTTTTTTTTTTTTTTTTGGTTTTTTGTTTTTGTTTTTGTTTTTGTTTTTTTGCTCTTCCTTCCCCTGCTGCACAGAGACGCAGACACCCGCTCCCTCCCTGCCTGCCTGGGACCCTGTGCATGTCAGCTTCTCCTGTGTGCCTAGAAATATCCATGCCTCTCACCGCTTGTTTTGGACTGAACAGTGGGGGTGGTTCTGAATTTTGTGTTTTGGTTTCTGCTTAACCCCATCACCTGTGGTCCCTGAGCATGGTTGACCATCCCCAGCTTCCGGCACCCCCGCCCCGGCCACCCGGCTCCCACTCATCCTTCACACTTGCTGTTGGATGTTTTTGCTGAACCCTTGGCTTCCACGCCCACCCATCCCCATCGCTTTCTTCTTGGAGTTTGATTGCTGTGTGTCTGCGGCAGGACACCATGGAATTGCTTAGCTTGTGGGAGGAGGAGTGTCTTGAGAGAAAGAGAAATTCAGTGTGGATTTCATGATATTTCACTCATCCTCCAGCCATCTCTGTGTTACTGTTCACATCTCTACCTCAGCTTGCAGATCTTTTTCTGTTTCCTTCTTTTTCCTTGTTTGGTTTGCAGTAGGCAGCTGCAGTGAAATGCCTAGGCAGCCCATCCCCCCAGAGGACAAGGTTTCTGAGCCCCACCTGTCCCTGTCACCACCTCCCCCGAGACCTCAGGACCCACATGGGCGGAGCAGGAGAGCTGAGGGCCCTGTTTCAGCAGGAGCAGAGCTCCTCTCCCAGGCACACCAGCCCCTCTGCACTTGCCACACACAGCGCACAGACATCCCAACCCAGGGGTTCCGATCTGAAACCTCAGGCTGCTGCCAGGGCAAAGTACTTGTCAGAATGAGACTGGAAGTCCTACTTCTGGTGCGGCAGTCAGAGAGGCGGGCCCCTCCCCTGCCCTCATCCCCGACTTTGGTCAAGGCCAGTCATCCCCAACTGCCCTGCACTGTAGTGAGAGGAGGTGGGGCCCAGTCCAGCTTCACTCAGCCCCACCCTCTGGCCAGCAAGTTGAACTAAAGCTTAGCAGTCAGTGGGTGAATTTTTACATTTAAAAAAAAAAAAAAAAACATTCTGACCTAAGTGCTTGAAGATCTTTTAATTTTGATTTCTATGAATTTCCTTTTTAGGGGTCCATCATTAGCAGTCCTCACATGCGCCGGAGAGCTACATCAACACGAGAGTGTCCATCTCGCCCACACCAGACTATGCCCAACTCATCTTCCCTCCTGGGCTCCTTATTCGGGAGCAAGAGAGGGAAGCCCCCTCCCCAGGCCCACCTGCCCTCAGCCCCAGCCCCGCCACCCCCTCACCCACCGGTGGTCCTGCCCCACCTGCAGCACTCCGTGGCTGGCCACCACCTGGGGCCCCCAGAGGGGCTGCCGCAGGCCCCTGTGCATGGGCATCACACCCAGTACTGCCACATGCAGCAGAACCCACCCCCCTACCACCACCACCACCACCACCACCCGCCCCAGCACATCCAGCACGCACACCAGTACCACCACGGCCCCCACGGGGGGCACCCAGCCTACGGGGCCCACGCCCATGGCCACCCGCCACTGTCCGCGGCCCACATGGGGCACACAGCGCACCACCACGGGCAGCCCCCTGCCCCGCCGCCCCCCACCAGCAGCAAGGCCAAACCCAGCGGCATCAGCACAATTGTGTAGACAGCCTGGGCAGGTGTCCCAGGTTCCCTGAAACAGCTGCACACCACACAGGGCACGCCCGGGGGTCGCCAGCCGCACACCAAACCCGGGGCACTTCTGTTGCCATCTCTCCCCTCTTCCCCTCACAGCCCAACTGGAGCCCCAGGAGCCCATAGGGCTGGTGTTGTGTGGAACAAAGGTCCAGATTTAATTTAGTGTTGGCACCCCGAGCTCCGCTCACCTCAGTCTGAGGGATGGGTGGGCCTCAGACACCATCAGCCTTGAAACGGTGCCGCCAGCCAAGTAGATGTTGAACTGCCTCCCCCACTCCAGCTCTCAGCTCCCTGTGCCCTAATTTACATGCCTGTGAAAACCCAACCTAGAAAACGAAGAAATGAGATACAAAAACAGAGACAAAACAGACCCCAAAACTTGCTGCATTATTGCTCTTTTATTGACAATGGGCAAAAAATTAAGTAGACCTGATATGGTTGATGAAAATACGTAAGTAAACTTTATATAATATAAATATATAAATATATAAATATATATATATATATACTGTATAGGTAGTACTTGTGTGTGAAAGGCAGGCGTTTCAGTCCACAACATTAGCAATACCCACCTTACAAGGAGCTCCACTTACCTAGTAGGAAGACAGTACCTTAGCTGGGTGTGTGAGACAGTAGACCAAACCCTAAATGCTAGGAATAAATTCAGATACTTCATATTTTCATACAAAGAAGTCCCTCTAGGACTGGCTAAAATCTTTACACAATCATTACTAACTGTGCCAAGTAACATAGCATCTAACTGTTTAAAAAGTCCAGTATTGCTTTGTATAAATCCTTATTTTATTAACAGAATACTATCATAAATAGTATTATAATGCTCTGTTATTTCAGGTAAGCAAATAGCTAAACTGCAGTACACTCTACAGTAGCAACTCAGGACAGCTGGTTACGAGCTGGTTGTCTTAGGACATTGGTTACACAGATTCTTAGACACTTTAATGGCTGCGATAACTGTGAATCTCCATGATCCATGTTTCTTTTACGCGCATATGATTTAATGCACACTCATTCAGAGTCCTCCGAGAGGGGCACCCATACACGGCAGAAGTGTTCATCTCCAACATGAAAGTGACCAGCTCTCATCCTCGTCTCCCCAACACCATAACTTCCTCATCCCGCCTCCAACCCACACCAGGCCGAAGCCCTCAGAGAGTGTTTTCACCAGGAACCACTCTCGAACCTGAAGGTTGACTTTAGTGTTTAGCAACCCAGGGCGGTGTGTGTGTTTCCTGTTTTGTTTTCTGAGTGGTAGCAGTGATCATCGTAATTCCATGTAGCCATGTGCTAGCAGAACCCTTGTGTCATCACCGTGGCCCGTGTGACCCCAGCCGACGAGTGCCCGGCGGAGCCCCCGCTGCCTTCCCATGGTCCAGTGAGCTGCCAGGGCATCACATGACTCTCAGCTGTGCTCTTGTCGCTTCTGTGTTGTGGTGACACCATGCGCTCCCCGGGCCAGACACTGCACGTGGCGGGTCTGTGCCCGAGTCACCCACGGGCCATACTTTGTAGTTTCAGCCTTTCGAGCCACTGCAGCCGTCAGTGCTGTGCTCCTAAGCCATGGGACCCGAGGACTGCCCCCCGGCGCCTGTCCAGGCGGAGGCCCTTTCAGAAAGGGCGAAGCTCACGCCTGACTCTGCGGGCCGTGGGGCCGCGTGCTCGGTGGACAGCGTGGTGAGCCGTGGCCGGACGGCAGGAGGAGAGGGGAGCCCCCTCTGGCTGTGTGTCACCTTGGCTGGCTGGCTGGCCAGGGTTTTGTTGATTTCCCTCCTCACATCCCTCCCCTCGCTCATATCATTGAGATCACCGTACCAGCAAATCTGCAAAGCAAGCACTTTGTTAATCTCCATAGAGAGCAAATACAGCAATCTAGAGTTTAGCCTTTTTAAAATTAAGTGTGACTTTAACCTGCCCACCTGTGTCCTCCCATCGGTGTGGCATTTCTTTCTTTGGTGTCTGCTCAGAAAGAAACAGCATGGGAGCATGTGATTGGGTCCAGGCTAGGCTGTGGGGGAAGCACCCTGGTGTCCCCGACTCCTCAATTCTTGGGTCTTTTTTAAAAGCCAGGCTCCCTAAAGCACTCTTTGTCTCGCAGTTTTGAGGAGGAGGTTCTGACCTGGAAGCGTTAAACTGCTGCATGTCATCCGGTGTCAGCTGTGAGGCCGCGCTCTGCGGATTGTACATTCGCAAAATGTATCGGTGTGACCGTAGACACATCGTTGAAGTAAAGCGATCACATATTGAGTATGTCAGCTTTTCTCGCCCTCTTCTGTGCCGAGGGGACTGTCTAACTGTAACCTTTAGGTTGTTCCAGAAAAGATTCAGGCCATTTGGCATAGAACTGCTCTTTCTGAAGGGCAGCACTAATGAATAGGAACAGACAGTAAACCCCAGGAGGGGCTTTCCAGAAACTCTCCCTCTCCATCGCCATCCTGCAAGCTCCACAGCCTCGGGCTGCCAGCCTCTGGCACTGTACTCGGTGTGTCCTGGAGCTGTGCTGGGCAGCAGGCCTGGGCCTTGCATAAGGAGCTGCTGGAGCCCACTGAGCCCCTCCTGGGGTTTCCAGCCACACTGTGTGCTCCTTCAGGCCAGTGAGGTTTCATCCTATTTTATTTGCAAGCTTATCAAAAGTTTGTGGAAGATACATTGTTGGATTCCGGAGGCTGGAGTAATGCTGCCCACATCTTGTTTGGGAAGCGAAAGCTCCCAGTGAGCTGGTGTCCCCGTGTGTCTTTCATGGGACTGTCCCCTCTCGATCCCCACCTGTTACAGCCATAGCTTCGGGGTCCTGTCATCACGTCCCACGGGAGGGGAGGCAGAAGGAGGCTGAGGGCCCCAGGATGTCTGCCTGGTCCCTTCTCACTGTGAGGATGCCCTTGGCACACCTTTCTCAAGTCACACAAACTATTGTAGTTACATACAGAATTGCTGACAGGAGCAGGAGACGCTGAGGGAAACAGCTGGCAATATGACAAAAGTCTTTCCTGGGACAACAATCGAATCATGTATTTGTATTTTTTTAAGTTTACCAATGAATTGTACAACAATGTAAAAATAAAGTTCATCCTAATATGATGTGCACATCTTGCTTAAAAATGTCTTCAGCATCCAGTGCAGAGTGATGTTTCCCTCACACACTGCATGTGGCACGAGCCTCTTGTTTTTCTTAACAATGAGCTGAAAAGACAGCAGATGTTCACAGCTGATGCTGGGTGTTGACTCAGCTCCACGGGAAGCTCTGTGCCCGCAGGTAAGCACGCACAGTCTTACAGTTCTCCTTGTAAAATATCATCACCCTTCCTGCCTGAGAAACGAGTGCATTTGTATTTTATATAACAACAATAGTCAAGGCAGCATTGCAACACTGAGCAGGGTGAGATGGGGGTGCTGAGCACAGGACAAGTGGGAGGAGGCCTGCCCTCCACTCAGACTCATCCGTGTCGCCCTTCTGTATGCAGTCACATTGAGACTGCACACAGCATGCATCTCCTCTTGGGAGATAACCTTTGCCTCCGAGTTGTTTTAAGCAATTAGAATCAGGTCCTGAATCCCCAGACTGTTCAGAGACTTCAAGGGACACCTCCCTCACAAGAAACCTGGCACCCCCACTGTGTACCTGTGGGAGGGAAGGAGTGCGTTTGTGTTCATCTGCATTCTGTTTGTCAGTGGTAACAGACTCTATCAATGTAAAACCATGGTTGTGATCATGTGGGGAAATCAAATAAATCCTTTGAAACTCTCGGATTCTCAGTTTTTCTGAAAAGTCCAGAAGTTGCCCTGTTGGCCAGACCCAGATCTCCAGCTGATGAGTTTCTCCATTCCTTGTCATGACTGGGCACTCACTTTCCTTGAAGACATTGGACTGACTTGACTTTGAGGACACTGATACAAAATTTAAAATAAAGGGACACATCACAACCAATTGAAGGTTTCAAAGGTATTTATAATTTCTAGCAACTTTCTTTTTTTTATTTTTTTTTCATTTTTTTGAGACGGAGTCTCGCTGTCGCCCAGGCTGGAGTACAGTGGTGCCATCTCAGCTCACTGCAAGCTCCGCCTCCCGGGTTCATGCCATTCTCCTGCCTCAGCCTCCCGAGTAGCTGGGACTACAGGCGCCCACCACAGCGCCTAGCTAACTTTTTCTATTTTTACTAGAGATGGGGTTTCACCATATTAACCAGGATGGTCTCGATCTCCTGACCTTGTGATCCACCCGCCTCGGCCTCCCAAAGTGCACACACCCTGGCGCCTTGCCCAATGCCTGTCTCTGCAACTGGGAGTCCACCCATTTTACAGACCATTCAGGGGCCCTGCAAGAGAAGCTGGGTACAAAAATTCCCTGAAATACCCAGTTCTGCCTTGGTTTGATTACAGGCATGAGCCACTGTGCCCGGCCGTATTTCTAGCAACTTTCAACAAATGATGGTCCCTTCATGGAGTAAGAGGGGATGAATTCTATTAAACGTTGAGGTACACTAGTTATGACTTAGGGAAAAACAAAATACCCAGTGGCCCAGTCCCCAGTGAAGATGGATGATGACATGAGGTCAGAACAGCCTGCTTTTCCATGTTAGCTAATGTCATGTGCAAAAGCCAAGATGGTAAAGTCATTCTCCTGGAAGGAAGAGGCCTGTGAGGATGTAATTGGCTTCTATGATTTCTCCTTTCCTGGCCAAACATAGTTCCTGAGAACACCACTTTAAAGTTTCAGTGCACGGGATAAAATGAACTGGCAGATCTAACTAGTGAAAAACAAAGTTAATTTTGGTGACCAAAACGAGGTCTGGCCCTCCCTCTGTACCGCACATTCTGATTGAAAGATGTTCTCACATGGGCCGCCTCTTCCAGTCTCATTCATAGCCGCTACTGGCTCATCCAGACTGAAACCAGGAAACCAGCCATTTCAGTGCACACACCCTGGCGCCTTGCCCAATGCCTGTCTCTGCAACTGGGAGTCCATCCATTTTACAGACCATTCAGGGGCCCTGCAAGAGAAGCTGGGTACAAAAATTCCCTGAAATACCCAGTTCTGCCTCGGTTTGATTTTTGCGATGCAGATCTGTAGCCCAGGAGCTGCTGGAGGTAGATGAGCTAGGCCGGGGCTCCGAGGCAGTGATCTTCTGGGGATTGTGTTTGTCTCCCCCTGCCCTGAGATTGTGAGCTGCATGATCCGCCTCTGTGTGTCCAGTCAGCCCCAGTACTGGGCTTGTCAGCATGCATCTATCTGAAAATGAATGGATGGCAGGGGTTCAGGTCACACCACCACCAGCAGCTGGTCTTTGAGGGTACTGATCATTGACATTATTAAATGTATGGAAATGGTTTGCCCTACCGCCCCCTCCCTGCCTCCCGCCCGCACAACTTCCCTTGACACTGAGAAGTCTGACTGGGAGACACCTGACTCAGACCTTGAGATCATGGTGCTTCCTCCTCCCTGGCTGCACATGACTTCGTGCCACCGAATCCCAGGAACATGTTTAGTCCCTGCTTCACCTGACCCCTTGGCAGCTGTGACTGTTGGTGTCTGCCTCCTTGAAACGCTGGTTCCTGGGCACCTCTGGGCCATGTGCCCTTTCTGCTCTCTGGAGACTCCTTCACAGTCTCCTGTGCAGGCCAGTCCTCCTCCATGGAGCTCGTGTGTGGCTTAGGTGAAGTCCAAGCCCTCTTCCTCCCTTTCCCCTCTGCTGAGGCACCCTCACACAAGCCCACGGTTTCAGTCCACCTTCTCCATGCCCCTGGCTTCCACATGTCATCTGCAGTCCAGACCTCTACTCTGGGCACCCATGTCCCCTTGGTATTTCTGACAGCCCAGCCCTGCAAGCCCTCCATGACCATGCTCTTTCATTATATAGCCCCATGCAGCAGAAACCTGGTCCTGTCCTCTGTTCCCTGTCTTGGCGAATGACATCATCATTGACTTGTTTAAACTGGGACCTGGGGTTGCTAGTGTCCCGTCCATCTTTCCCCAAACCCTCTTGATTTGTGCCTCCTGCTGCTTCTAGAATCCATCTGAGTCTCTTCACGTCTCACCCCACTGCAGGCTCTCATGTGTCTCTCCTGGACTAGAGCTCCCTGCCTTGGCACTGGCCTTCCTGGGGGGACCCCTGTCTGTTCCCCATGTGGGTCTTGCTCTGTTGCCAAAGTTGGAGTGTGGTGGTGCAATCACGGCTCACTACAGCCCTGATCTCCTGTGATCTTCCCTCCTCAGCTTCCTGAGCAGCTGTGACTACAGGGGCGCACCACCGTACCTGACTAGTTTTTTTGTTTGTAGAGACAGGGTTTCTCTATGTTGCCCAGGCTGATCTCGAAATCTTGGACTCAAGCGGTCCTCCCGCCTTGGCCTCCCAAAGTGCTGAGATTACAGCTATGAGCCACTACACCCAGCTGCCTAGCAATGGAGTCATTTTTTTAAGGTGCTCCTGCTTAAAGCCCTATTGGTGATTTCCTGTTGCCCTTAGGAGGAAAGAAATCCCATCCTTCACATGACCCCTGCCTGCCCCTCAACAGTCACATTCCCCTCACATTCCAGCCATACCAGCCTTGATTGTTTTGTGACTGTTCATGCATGTCCTTTGACAGTAAAGGTCAAAAAGTCAAGATAGTGTCTGTCTTTGTACACGCTGTAATCTCAACATGGAGCACAAAGTAGATTTCCTAAGTGAATGCCTTGGGAGCACAGCAGGAAATGTGCTACAATGCACGACGCCATGTGGCAGCAACATGAGATGAGGGCCCAGGAACATGGGTGGGGACCATGCTGGCAAGGCCCTGGGGCCCGCTGGCATGCCTTGTTAAATAAGTAAAAATTGGGGCAGTGGTTGGAGGCTTTTAGACATGGTGTTTTAACTTATGTCAAGTGTCTTTTGACATGTATTTAATCTAGTGAGAATAGATTGATGAAAAACAGAAAAAAAATGTCCCCACAGTCTCACTATCTCAAATCACGTATAATTGAGTATGTGACCAACTGTTCTTCCATCGTCCCTCCATGCATATTTCTCAGTCACCTCGTTTACATCTCTGAAGTGCTTCCCAAACAGTACTGTCACTGTTGCTTGGTGCCCCATGTGGTAAGTGTCATCGGTCACACACCTCTAGGGAACGATGCATTGCACGCAGTTCAACGCGTTTCTTTCTGTTGGACCTTTTAGAGCCTTTGGAAAAGATGGTGTGCATATATGAATCAATCTCTGAACGATAGCCTGTGCGTTCTACAGAATACAGTTTACTGACACTGTGTGTGTGTAAATGCTATTTTTTTCCCCTTACTCTATTGTGATGAGGCAGTGGAAGACTCAACCATTTATAGAGTCTGCATAACATTCCACCTTACAGATGTCCCGTAACATGTTGCCATGCAGATAGTGTTGTGTTGGTGAACAAGGAACAAACGGAAAGAAATAATCGAGTTTCTGATAGAGTTGGTGATTCTGGTGAGGACTGGAGGCCACAGAGGGGAACACCATGGTTCGACCACAGTGCTGAGTTCCTGGGATGACCATGGACCCCGTTTTGGTGCTGCTGGAGGCCAGGTGTCCCCTGAGATGCCTCTTAGCTCAGTGCATTCAGTTCAGTGGCCACTTTTCAAGAGAGCCCATCTCACCGCTCAACCCAGAGCAGGCCTGTGATAAGACCTGGGGGCTGCTGCTTGCAGGCATGGGGTGAAGGTCGCCCACCCTCATTTCTAACGTGGAGCTTCAGGACTTTCAAGGCCCTCTGGGAAAGCTTTTCTTCCTATTGTTCCTAACCACACCGCATCCCCATCTCCACGTTAAAGTGTTCCAGTTAAATCTGAAAGATAGGACCTGAAGCACTTTGTCATTTTCCATGTAGTTAATAGGGAAGAACACATTCTAAAATAAAAATACCAGAGGACAATACCTGAATTGGAACCTCTTCTCACATCCTCTGAAAACTTTTCAAAGAAGAACAAGGAGGGGCCAGATGCTGTAACTCACCCCTGTAATCCCAGCCTGGGCAACATAGTGAGACCCCCATCTCTACAACATCAAAACATGAACCGGGCATGGTGGTGCCTGCCTGTGTTCCCAGCTACCCTGGAGGCTGAGGTAGGAGGACTGCTTTAGCTGGTGAGGCCAAGGCTACATGAGCCATGATCACCCCACTGCTCTCCAGCCTGGGCCACAGAGCAAGACCATGTCTCCAAAACAAAGAAACAGAGTCACCTATAGCTGTCAGACCTACACTGTGTTTGGGAAAGAGCGAAAACCCACAGAATTCACTTAAAGGTCAGTGGGAAAATAAACATCTTAGAGCAGCAGAGTTGACGTAGAATCACTTGCCATTGCCAGGGTGGGGTGCAGGGGCAGTGGGGATGCACAGCGGGAGGGGATGAGGGGGTCCTCATGGAAGTTCTGGGTGGGGTGTAAGGGTGGAGTGTGCACAGCTGGATGGGGTGGGGAGTCCCCATGGAGGTCCTGGGTGGGGTGCAGGGGCAGGGGGGATGCCCAGCTGGAGGAGGTGAGGGTCCCCTTGGAGGTCCTGGGTGGGGTGCAGGAGTGGGGGGGGTGCACAACTGGAGGAGGTTGGGGGTCCCTGTGGAAGTTCTGGGTGGGGTGCAGGGGTGAGGGGTGCACAGCGGAAAGAAATGGAGGGGTCCCCATGGAGGTCCTGGGTGGGTGCCGGGGCAGCCAGAGGGGGTGCATAGCAGGAGGAAATGGGTGGTCCCTGTGGAGGTGCAATGCACGGAGCAGGAGGGAGCCGCCCTGAGGGGAGAAAG